TTTTTTTTTTGCATTATAAAGTGTTACAATTTTTTGAAAAATTTTATTTCACTTAAGATCAATTTAAAAACAATCAGTTTTTAAAATTATAAGTCAATATAAATCATAATTTAAATTATAGTTTAAATCAGCGGTAATCAATCATGGTTTCTTTCTAGTTTTTCTTCTTTTATTAGCATACTGAAATCAACATAGTATAAACAACAAAACTATAAAATAAACAATCTTCTTTTTCGTTATTTTTCAGAAATGATTTTGACAGCAAAAACTTTAAGCATTTACTGTCAAGTTTTCTCAGTAATTTTGGCGAAAAAAAAAGACATTAGAAACTGAGGATGGTACACTATTTGTTTGACATTTATTAGTGAACTTCAGTAGTAAATAGTAAATAAACTATAGGAAAATAGATCTGTAAAATATCAATGCTTTTGTGATGTCTGAAAAACAAGTAGTTTATAACGCTGATATTGGTCTGTTGATTAGGCAACATCGGTATCCAGCGAAACAAGCCCAATTCCACATTTAACAGATGGTAAACGAGCAAAATATGATAGCCTGAAAAAGCAAAGTGGTGATACAAAAAATTCGGGTACACATTTGCCATCCACAAATACAAATAAAGGTCACTCAGGGGTAAGAGTTAAAAATTTTGTTGTTTTCCTAACCGTCTTTTTTTTCACTCTTGTCGCACTGACTGTCAGTTGGTTCGTTTTGAAGGTACACGACGACTCAGACAGATCCTCAACGTGGAGACGTAAAAAAAGTGAAAAAGCATTAGTACATCGAATTGCCAACGATTTACAACTAGCAGAATTTGGTTTGTACTCTCAACTTTCACACCTGTTTGTTGTTTCACTTCCATCTGTTTAAAGTATCATCAGCTTTACAGAAGGTTACACAAAACTAAATTTAGTTAATATTCATTTGTTGATGGTAACCTAATGCAAAAATTAATTTTCAGTCAGCAATAATTATGTTGTTCGCGCAGATTCGAGACATCGTTTATATCTATTTCGACTAGTGGAATCCGGACTTCGGCGTGCTCTATGGTATCTTTCAAAAGCTATCGCAGGACGAAAAATTCTTTTTACGGTATTCTTCTATCAGTATTAATTAATGACAACTAATTGTTTGCTTCAGGTAATAACACGTAATAAATATTTCAGCTTTTACCTATAGTATTATTGCTATTATCGCTTATCGGTCCGTACTTCCATCGTGATACCATCTCACTTGAATCTCCTCTCTCAACATTTTTTACTCCAACTGCAACGCCATATCCATCATCAGGTTTCAGCAGCCTCAGGATTCGATTACCGCAAAGAGGCGTATTCAACGACACCAATCCAACGTATAACGTTCTCAGACGAGACGTCCCGTCTGATTTTGGCGTACTTATTAGAAGCAGGTTTGGCTTTTTATCTTTAAATTTTACTTCTTAAATAAATATCTTTTAGTAAAAGAAATTAAAATAAAATTTTGTTGAATAATTGAAGCACTTTGTGATTTTAGAGATAACAGTGTTTCTGTGATACAAGAAGGAGCACTTGAGGTCTATTCACATATTCGTAGAGCGATTAAAAGAATTGGTGTGAAATATGGTAAAGTAAGGTATTCGGTAAGTTGTTTACCTCCTTTATGGTTCTAAAATTATTTCTAAACCGTTCTGGTCAAATAATGTCTTTTATTCACGGCAGAAAAAAAATTTTTTTTTGACAAATTTAGGCTTCTTCGTAATTGACACTTCTAAACATCAAAATAACGTGTAGCTTTTGCAAAAAACAGTTGACTATTTAGTGGTCAGATTTATGTCGCGAATCTTGCACTGACGATGATGACGCTATTGTGCAGATTATCACTAGCGATTTAGACGCTCCACTTACCTATCCAGAAAGCTTGGTCTCGTCCAAAATAAGCAACGAAACCACTAAACGTGTTT